AGAAAATTGAGAAGGCAGTCATTCGGCTGATGTACACTCGTACAAGGCTCTAGATCTCACTGAAGCTCTTCTTAGAACTAACTTTGAAGAACTGTCTCACAAGCTGTGCATGTACAATATCCATAGCTGGGCTTGAGGAGGAGTGTAGAATCCTTATTCAAGTTAGTAGTTTGGGGATTGTGGCAATTCTGGGATAGTATGTCTCTAAATCTGGGATTTTATCTATCCTTTTTTGGTGGATAATTTTTCTCCAATTAGAACAACTTAAGACCTGATTTTTAGCTAGATTTTTTACTATATATTCTGCACATTCTTCATTCAGTAATAAGAAGAAAACCAAGAATTTCCTCTCAGTTTCTTCAACTTTTCTTCTAGGTTTTCTTCACAGAGAAAAGCAAGACAAAGCGAAGTACACGTGGTCGGGCTCCCCCTACATCTCTTTTTAATGAAATTTTTCCAATAAAAGGGGAAAAGGGTACCCTATATTAAGCAATCACATGGACCATGGGCATCGATAGGAAAATCCGAGACTAAAAAAGTGAAAGCTTGAATTCAAGCATTTCTTTTCTTACATTATTTACGTTATTAGTATTATTGGAAAAGCATGCTTGTAGTGCCCAAAGTAAATTTTTTAAGAATGTCCAAGAAACTTGTACATACAACTTTGATAGATATATGAGTTGAAAGTAGAAGAGTCAAGTTCTGAAAATCTTCGAATAGGGATATTATTTAAAATCCAAGTGAAGATTCTAAACTCGAATTTTCTTCCTAAATCACATTGGTAGAAAAATCCAAGACTAAAAAAGTGAAAGTTCGAGGATCAAGTATTTTTCTTCCCACATCATCTATGCTATTAGTAACATTGAAAAGCATGCTTGTAGTGCCAAAAACCCAATAAAATTAAAAGTTTTTACACTATAATCATTTGCGAATTTCCAGATCCTCAAACATAGGAAACAACGTCCAGACAGGTGTATTTAATATGGGATACCGCAAATTGTAAACATGAGTTACCTGTAGCATCAGTCTGTGCTATCCAGACAGTAAATCCTGCATAAAGATGCTGCCATTTATCCACCCTTCTGGCAGCTCCATGCTGTCCTCCTAATGTTGAAACAACGGCGCGTACATGGCTGAAAGAGTAAGTGAGAAAATTGAATGATTTCTCCAACTTAAAAACAAATTTAAATCAGCAGTCATTCAATAATTCATACCTACTTAGGCTCTCTAATACAGAAGCTTCTGCTTGAGCTACAGAGTCCAATCCTTCAGTAAGCACCACTGAAATTGATTACACTTGTTAATGACTGCAGGATATCTAATACAAGTTAAAAGTATTTGAAATAGATGTTAGTGTTATAGAAGCAAAATTTTGGTCCATGAGAAAACGAGATTGAGAAGAAAAAGAAAAGGAGATTGAGGATGTATGAGCTGTTGCAGGGATAAAACTAATCACAGACAGCAGTTGATGCTTCATTTGAAAATATTCTCAGCACCAATGTAGAAATATTCTTGGCATTTAATTCATTACCATAAAAATGTTTTAAGCCTTTAATTCTTGATTTCGTAAAAAATCCAGCTATTATTAGCTGTACCTTTTGTTATTGATAGATAGATTTGACATTATTAAACTCTATTTCTGATTCTTTGTTTACTTTGAATTAATGGTCAAATCTTCCTCCAAAAGGAAAGTAACTTGATTGTAAAATATGTATATATTGGCTGTCTTCAGCCCTTTGAAGGGCAGAAAGAAATTTCTCCTTTTGACATGGTATTAGAGCAACTCGGACTCTAACACCAGCATTCTTAAAAGAAAAATTATGCCACTAAGAAAGGAGCCCCCTCAGTGGATGTTATCCGGAGTCATATCAGCCAACCGGAAGCCTTCTGACTGTCAGCCCTTCACCATTACCAGCCACAAATTAACTGGCTAGAATTACTTGCAATGACCACAATCTGTCCTCACCTTTATATCCGGAAATGAAAGGATGAATACTTTATCTGTGAAGTTCTCCAACCGAAGAAGGAAAAAACAACATATCAGCCATGGAAAACAGAAAATAACCAAGTAATGTCGTGGCTATTGAATTCCGTTACAAATGAAATTTCTCCTCTATCAAATCGCAACTGAAATATGGAAAACAGAAAAAGAGGCATACTCGCATAGAAAATATTTCTGGAACTTTTCGAAATGAATGCCTTCTTCATGATCATGAAAAAGTAAACTTATCATCACCCAATATTCAACATACTCAACTGTCATTGGCAGCATCTTGATGTATGTGAAAAATATAAGTAGAAATATCCAGATGATACTTTGCACCACAAGAAACTTATGGCACAAAAGAGATTATACATGTTCTTAACAGGAGTAAATAAGAACTTGGATGATGTGCGTGAAAGGATTCTCTCCAAATGACCAATTCCCAGATTTGTGAAGCGTTTGCTGAAGTTAGGTGTGAAGAAAGTCGCAGGGAAATCATGACGAGAACCCATAGTTCAATTAATGATTCCGAAGCAACTGTATCTATAATTAGAGGAGGACAACCACCACTCAACTCTAGGAAACAAAGGAGAAAAAGACCAAAATGTGATCATTGTCACAAACTGGGTGACACTAAAGATAGGTGTTTGGATTTCATGGCAGATTGGGAGATTCAAATTTAATACTAGGAGGGGAAGTAGAAGTAATTCAGCCATCTCGAGAGAGAAGCTTGAAAGTACTGAGACATCTCTCTTCAGCAAGAGCAACTGGAATTGCTCCAACAACTGTTTGTGCAGCAAAGTAAGCCATGTGCTACTTTCACAAGCCTTAGGATCTGAGGATCACAAAGGTACATCATACATGTCTTTGATGCTGAAAAAGAAAAATTCGTTGTCTGGATTGTTGATTCAGGTGCCTCTCACCTTATGACTGGAGATTTACATTTATTTGCTAACCTTAATCCATGTAAAGAAAAATGGTATGCGCCGATTGCTGAAACACAATCACAAGTCATTTGAATTGGAACAATGGAACTAACAGAAGATTTAATACTTCAATCTGTGTTATTTGTTCCAAAAATTAATTATAATTTGTTATCTATTAGCATAGTAACTCAAAATTATAATTACATTACTAAATTTTTTAAAATTCGTGTGAATTTCAAGAAATTGATTAAGGAAGGATGATTGGCAGCACTAAAGCGTGTTTAGGATTATACCTCCTTAGCACCATCAACACTCCAAGTAGACAAGCTCTACATCTTGGTAATCTAGTTCCTCATTACTCTTTAATTAATGCTCCAGCAGTGATATTATTTTGTGACATTCTCGATTAGGTCATCCCATCTTTGTGTACCTTGAAAAGTTATTCCGTTCTTATTCAGAAATGAAAATCCAAAATATTTTAGTATGAAGTGTTTCAATTCTTAAAAAATATATAAAATTTGTTTCCAAACCTTTCATATAAACCAACTCGTCTGTACACACAATATTTCATAGGAATGTATGAGACTAGCTCATGTTAAACATTTAGTTAGGCTTTGTTGATGTGTATCCTTTGATGATGTTCACACTCGTTTAACATTAGTTTTTCTTTTAAAAGAAAAATCAGAAGTTGGGCAAGTCTTCCAAAATGCACAAAATGATCTGAAATCAATTTCAGAAAAAAATAAAAAAAATCCTTGGAATGGGTAATGCTAAAGAGTTTTTTAATAATATTATGGGAGATTATTTGTTGGACCAAGGAATCATCCATCAAAATTCTTGTGTAGATATCCCATAACAAAATAGGATCGCAGAGAAAAAAAATAGACACCTTCTTGAAATCACTCGTTCTTTAAGAATTTTCATTTTGAAATAAAAGTATAAATATATTAACAGATAGCAAGGAGATGCCAACCTGTATATAAATTATTTACAGCTCTAACAAACTATTCTACAAGGTTCCCTAAATCTTCTACAAAATAAAGAGGATGACTTATAATAAAAAACTGAAAGTTTGAAACCATTTATTAATAATTCTATCAAAATTTCCCTCATCCACAATCCCCTTAAAAGGTCTTCTATTTCTCTCATTCCAAATTATCGAAAATATGATCGGCAAGAATGAGGTCCACACGATTCTTCCATCTTCTGACACCCTTCCAAGCCCAACTTTCATCACTAAATGAATCCGCCATCAGCCAACTAATACCCATCAACCCATACACCATCGACCAAAGCTTATATTCATTCGGGCACCAAAAAAGAACATGATTGTAAGATTTCGCAGCCCTTCTACATAAGTAACAACCATTCATCATAATCATCCCCCTTCTCATCAACTTATCTATGGTCAAAATGCATCCCCTTCCAGCCTCTCATGCAAAAAAATGCAACTCTAGGACTTTAACCTTCCAAGTTTGTCTAAAAGGAAAATTCAATCCATGACTTTCCTGCCTAGTCAAGAACTTGTAGTAGGATTTGATCGAAAATAGTCCTACAAAAATAAGGCTTCACAAAGGATGATCATTGCTTCCATCTACGGTAATGATAGACAGAGTAGTAAGGAGATTCACATACTCAGAAATCTCCCAATTATTCAAGTTTCTCAATACATTTACCCGCCATTTTGAAACCCCATCCCTGTCATCTTTAAACAAGTCACTGACCAAACTATCTTTGCTCACTCGACCTTTGAGAACTGCACCCAATGTTCCAAAATATTTCTAGATAGATGCATTCTTACTGTAGTCTACTTTATAAACTGGATCTCATCTCGTGTTTTCAACTTCCAAACCCTATTCCAAGTTCTTATTAAACATTATCCTTCTTCCCGCATTGTGTCAAAAATTCCACTAAAAATATTTGGTTGTTCTGTTTTGGTCCACATTCACTCTCATAACTGCTGAAAGCTCAACTCACGTGCTATAAAATGTATATTTCTGGGATACTCACCAAATTAGAAGGGGTATAAGTGTTATTCCCTTACCACAAGAAGATATTACCACTCTATAAATGTTTCTTTCTTTAAACATCAACTATTTTATCTCAATACTGTCATTTAAGGGGAGAGAGACAACAATGACGAATGACATAATCAGGATGTTGAGAATTCACTAGTAAAATCAATTCCAAGTTTTCTAGATGTCATTGAACCTGTAACTCAAAGTATCAATTCTAACATGAGTCAGTATCTCGTGAGCCTAATTCTCATCCTGAAGTATCAAAAAAAACATTGTGCACAATGAGCTTCATATCTATTTGAGAGCACGTGTCCCCACATAAGAGGGAGTCTCAAACACTATCCAAACCTAAACAAGAATCAATCCAAGTTCATCAAATGAAGGTAACACAATTTTTAAAAACTCTAGAAATGACTTGGCGCATTGCTCTATGAAGAGGAATAAGATCCTATACTCAACACGTTTCGTATAATTATATCTTTTATTCAAGACGCTCACCTAAGTTTGGAGCCTTTATTACAAGTTCTGATACAAGTTCTACAAGTATCCAAGAGGTTATTAGAAATCCTTCTTGTAAGGCAGTTGTCTATGATGAGATCCAAGCTTTAGAATATAATAAGACATACAAAATGACAAATTACCCCTAAGAAAAAATCCAATATGCAGCAAATGGATCTTTATGGTCAAATATAAAATGATGGAAGTATCTACAAATACAAAGCACAACTTATAGCAAAAGAATCTACCCAGTTTTATAATATCGACTCTCAAGAGACGTTTGTACCGGTCACAAAACAAAACATTATCCCTGTTCTCCTATCATTAGCTGTAAATTTGGATCGGCCTTTATTCTAGCTAGAGTGAAGAATGCATTCCTAAATGAGAACCTAGTTGAAGAAGTATATATAAAGATCCCTCTTAGATTTGGAACTCCAAATATGAGACATCAAGTTCGCAAGTTAAAAAGGTTACTGTATGGTCTTAAGTAATCCAAAGAATTTAGTTTTAAAGATTTACAAGAGTAAAACAATATGAATATTCTCAATGTTTGTAACACTCGGGGCCGAAAATTGGTCTAGGATGATGTTTACGGATTATGAATATATATATAATAATTAAAATATTTTATTTTATTTTAATTTAATTGAATTTTTGAAAAAAAACAAGTTAGAGACGAAATTGAAAATAATTTTGGGAAGAAGAGGTGAAAATTTGAGTACGGGGGTGTTTTTGAAAGAAAAACTAAAAATAGGGGGTCAAGTACAATTAGAGAAAGTTCGGCCACGTAGGACTGCCAAGTCAGCAGTTTCGACGAACAGGAGCGTGCCGTGTGGCCAGACGGGCTGACGTTGG